TTCTTCACAAAGATTGTTCTTTTTCATGCAGTCCGCATCGGACAAAGAAATTTAAATGGAAGGTCTTTATTGGTAGTGGTGAACTAGTTTTTCCTTTGCATAGTACCTCAAAGTGATCCGATGTAATTCGCTGTTACATTGTTCGGTATTTCTCCCGCCTTCTTAGCATGCCTTCGTAGTGTAGTGGTCTGGGCGCATATTCCAAAGGTCCGTGGTTCAATTCCCGGCGAAGGTGTTGCTCATTTTTCACATTTCTCTTGATTAAAAAAATCCTAATGTCTCTACAACATATCGTGTAACAAATTGGAAAAGTTTACTAAGCAGTTGTTTTCCCGAAACGTTTTGTATGTACCTAAAGTACGTACTTAAGTCCTGAAATAAATTCTAAAAATGACCTAAAGTTTTGTACAGCCCTAAAGTATCGCTTACCGGCTTAGACTCAAACTTTCATTCACGAAGCTTTCAGAAGTCAGAATGTTTTTTAGTACTGCGCGACTTCTACACTTTTTTTATGCAATCTTAATACTTCTATGCACAACTACTACATCACATATAAAATCTATAACATTGCTTACGCAGTCCTAATTACAGACGTTTAACAAATGTACAAAACTTCACTTTCCATACTCTTAATAGCTTCTGTGGTTTGAAATTAAACTGAGTATTCAGCCTAATAGTTAACCAAAGAAGGTATCTTAAACTTGTTGACGAATTACCATTCTTACAACTGCTTAAAGAGATACTTATTTTTCTTCTCCTGGAGGCTTACAAATTAAAATGCTTACCCAAATTAAAATGCTTGATTTATCATTAAACAAAATTGTAAGGATGAAGTTACTTGCCCCATCGTTACACAAAATTACAATTATGTGTGTGATTAGGGCAAAGCCTCGAGGGCTATCTGCCTAAGGAGAGGGATACCTTCGTGGAGGACCTTCTAAGGGGAACTGGCTCGTATGCACGTTACACATGTAGAAAGCCACGAAAACGCTCATGCAGTCAGCCCGTTCGCGGGATTCGAACCTCGGACCGAACTACCAGTGTTCAGCGACTTTACCGTTCGGCCGCTGGTGGGAAAATTACAAGCACGATGCTAGATTCAAATTAATTAGAAAAAGATGCTAAATTCAATAGTAAACACTTGGTTGGTTAAAATATCGCTAAATTCGTAGGCTACCTCACAGCGAGCTACTAACTTCAGCCGCTTGCAATATTAATAAGGCATAGCCGTGACAAAGCAGAATTTTAATAGTTCTATGGTTAAGATTAGCGTACTACTTTCAAATAACGTATGCCATTTAATTTACGTAACTTTCTGATCTGAACGAAGGAGCAGTATGATTAGATTCAGGGAATTCTGATTATGAAAAGCCTGACTCACAGATTGTGCTTCACCTGAAATATCATCTATGAATAGTCTGATTAAACTCATTCTCAAAACTTTTTTTACTGTAGTTAAAAAAAAATTTTTTTGGGGTGATCCAGAAAAACTTTAGACTGAAAGCCTTTGTTCTATTTCCTGAATTTTTCTATATTAATTCGATGAAACTGATTCTCTGCCCATTCTGTGAAATTAGAACCCAATATTTTCCTTTTTTTTTAATATAGTAATGCTTGTTCATAGTACATAATTTGTTTTATTCCCTAGAAAATCATTAGAATACAGATAAATTCATACTTGACATTCCCAGCTGAAATAAAAAGAGTTTCCTACACTCATTAAAACATTACACGCAAAAAACTGCTAAATTTTAGAGTCTGAAATAAAGATGCACACTAAATCAGTGCCGTAAAATTTGAAGTCATCAGTAATCTAGAAATATATTAGCAAACATTCCTTCCGGCTCTTAAGTCATACTTCGTTCTAACTTGAATGATTTCATTAGTGGCGCCATCTCTGAAGAAGAGAAGTAGAATTTTAAAATTAATAGTTTCAAAATCAATAGACGCTTTTAACAGCTTTTCTTTACTAGCAATTCGGTAATTGGAATAATCTCAATGTAAGAAACTAGTATATTATGAGTATTTCAACAATATTCACGTCTAGGATGAAACGAAATTAAAGCTGAAAGGGAACTTTTTATCGTTAAATAGTATTATATTTTGATAAAAACTTTATATTTATAAAAGTTTAATAAATTTGGACAAAGGTGCATTCATAAATTAATGGATATTGATTAAATTGCTTTTCAATCAAAATCTTCAATATCAAAGTAAGGGCCTATTTACACAACTAATGCCCACACGAAAACTATTTACACAGATACCCCTTCCTTACAAATTCCTTACAATGTCGTAGTTGATACTAATGTTAATTATATGAAGTGCGTTTTTCATTAATTAACAGTTCAGTGTGTTTTTCATTTATATTCATTTATATAAAAAATGCTATTTCATGCAATATTTGCATGCATCTTCATTTTTTTCAAGAAATGCAGTGGTTCTTCTCGAAGTATGACTTGATGAAGTCTCATTCTTTGAAAGTCACTGGGATAGTGAAATTGAATTTTTTCTCTAAAATATTGAACCCCAAACTTTCTCTTCATAGTACGTTGAATTGATTTAAACATTTTTTTGCACTCTTTTTATGTTTAAATTCCCATTGTAAAAGAATCCTTGACAGTCATAAACTCCATACTGGAACAGTCATAAACTCCATACTGGAACAGTCATAAACTCCATACTTTGCATTGACGGAACCAGAATTGTGCACGTTTTCGGTAATAAACAGATCTTTTTTGCTGCAGTCATTTAGTTAACCAGTTTCTTGAATGTTGAAGTCATTTGCGTCATCAAGTGTCGCAATATATTTTCATTTATCGCTTGCTAAATAGTTTTCATACAGGGTTCTACAAATTGTTTAGCGTTGAACCGCATGTTTTCAGAAAAACTGGTGAAAGTTTTTTTTAGCTTTTTGATAATTTTTTTAGCTTTTTTAAGTTGTAAATATTGTTTTATTATATTACTTTTATAACTACAAATGAATTTAAAGACTTACAATTGATTTTTGCTTCGGCGGATTTTTCTCTCTCATCGGAACGATTTACCTTTTGGAACATTACTTAGTACATTTTTGTTTGGAGTCTGCTTTCCATGTAAAAGTAATGTTTTCCCTTTCCCGATAAATTATGTTGCTTACTTTACAGTTGGAAATTTTAATACCATACACTTCAAAGCGTTCCTGAAATGCGTAAACTCGCTCTATACATTTTAAAATGTCTTATTTTCCTTAAAATATATTTCGAGGAAGAAAAAAGAATTCTTGTTCAACACAAATTTTTATTATTCAAATGACAGATATGAGACGAAAGTCGTGATACACCGTTTCTCAATTTAAAATTGATAGATATGAGGTAAAATTAAAAATTCGTTTTCTTTCCATCGTAGAAGCAATACTTTCTTCTGGAGTTTATTCCGATCAAAGAAATTTGCTTTTCCTACAGCGTAACTAATGATATCACCCCCAATGAGCGTGCAAGACAACTACCCAGTTTTTGATTTTTGAAGAAACACGTAAAATGCAAAGTTGAATTTGTTCATGCATCTAGTTATATTTGAAACCTGGAAGCGAGGGGAACACTTAAAATTTTATATATGCTATCAAGTGTTATAAGAGGATTTAGAAGCCTCTCCTAAAATGGAAGCAAGGATCGCATACTCAATCAGTGCCTAAACCATATTCGGACTAAAACAATATTGCGGTATCCTTCATTTACATATTATTTTTGATTAGCATTTGAAGTAGATAATCAGGGTGCAGAGACCTTAGGTTAATTAGAAAAGTCGGAGAGATGAAAAATTAGCAACCGCCTCCGCCGGGAATCAAACCACCGACCTCTGGAATACTGGCCCAGTGTGCAGAACCACTACACCACGAAGGCACGCTAAGAAAGCGGGAGAAATACCTTATAATTGTATTAAATAAAAATTACTTATGTATGCTTGAAATCTTTATTTTATAGTTTAATTGAATCATTGAATTCAACTTTTCCGAAGTAAATAGATACTGTTGGCACAAAATGCAAAGATATACTTCAATCAAGACTTCTTGTTACAAACACGATCAGGAAATTTAAAAAAGTTCATCTCTTGCTGATTTGTATTTTTCGTTAGCACTATCATTTCTAACACTTGACCACAATTTAGCGATCTAAGTCACACTCAGCTTCTAGTCAATGAGGACAAGAGTTGTGGAGCCTGTGGAGGACAAAACTGGCCTCAGTATTCTGCCAGTCTCTTCTGAGAATAAAATATGAAAAATCAGTTGCACAATGGCCAGGAATGGAATCATGGATGCTCCGTTTGCTTGCTAGATGCGTTCACCTTTTCATCACAAAGGACACACGAGAAAAATGTTATATCTCTTTACAGATTAAGTCAGTGTGCACGTGTATCTAAACTAATAAATTTGTAAATCTTTGGAGATTAAAAAAATTAAGTAAGACTTACTTTGTAAAGATTTATAAATCTCTTCTGGGCGTGCATTTGTCATGTAGCGGTTAGCACGTGAACTACCTTTCTGTTTAAACTTGCCTTGGGTAATGTAAATATGAACCACTTCCCCGCAAAAATTCCTTCATGAAAGCACTCCTTCTCTTAGGCAAATAGCCATCGTGGCTTTGCCAAACTTGCTTACAGAAGGATACAAGTATATAATTTGTATTGCTCATAAAATAGATTCGTAAAATTAGCTTTTCAGCTAAAAAGAATATGCTTGTTTAACTAACTCGCAGCAGTTAAAGCAATAAAAAATAAGGAAAAAAATCACGTTTACGTTAAGTAGCTCATGCTCGTAAGTTTACAATAAATCACAGAGATTTGATTTTTATACTTAGTGCATTTTACTTTTGAATTCATTTCTTTCGTTATGGTGACTGATTAAGATATATTAAATATATTAACATTACATATGAATCTAGTTAATCTTAAAAAGAAAAATGCAAACAACATACATTAAACTTTCTGTGATGTACATATTTCTTATCTTTTTATACTTTTAGGCTTTGGAAACCGACGGATTACGCATAAAGTCACGATGTTTCTCAATATAATGACTGTTTTCACAGTGTGGATGCAATTACATATCTTGATCACAGAAACAGGCGAGTTACTTTGAATCTTTATTATTTAATTTTCCCAACATATGATTAAAGAATGATGTTATGAATTAATTAAAATATTGTGCTGGTGAATATTTTGTTGCTATTTTTGATTTCAGACAGTGAGTTGCTACTCTTGTAAAATAATGTATTTTCTGACGATGTTTCGTAAATTTTCAGTTAAATTTAAATTCTTTCTTCTTTTGTTAGCAATTAAATGTATAAAATTTCTTCAGTATGAAAAATATGAGAGAAATGTCCAAAACAATTTAAAAACATATTATTGATAACATTTTACAAGAAAGACCTGTAGTAAATCAATCAGTCTTAAATATCGATACATGTTGATATAAAGTAATGTAAAGACTAAATTTTAATTGCTTTCTGGTTAACTGACTTTCTTCTTTTGCCATCATAGGAGCCCTGCCGAGATGGAGTTCAGTATCACCTAAGAATCATGATCGAGACATAAATGATGGTTGCGTTGTTGGTCGTTGTGTGCGACTTTCGGAATGCCCTGCTCACGCTACTCTTTTTAAACCAACTGGAGAATGCGCTGTCAGAGAGAACGGACCTTGGATATGTGCTCTTGAGGGAGACAATAAACCGAACACTCATTCAAATATCAACGACAATCCAGTGAATGTCATTTCTGAATCTACAAAACTGACATCATCTGGACACTGGAAAACAACTCCCCATTGGAGAAGGAATCCACCTCCGAAGTCTTTGATTAAAACAACGACACAGCGTCCATATGATGCAACCACTAGAAAATCGGTTCCAAATAATGACAAGGATTTAAGAACGTATACCAGTGTACCTGACAAATGGAACAGAAACACTAAAGATGCCTTAACTACTTCCAGTTCGCGGGAGAAAACAAGTCAACATTTTTGGTTGAGATCTACTTCCAAACCAGAAAATAGGTGGACTTCAGAAGATAAGCTATCATCTTCTGGTATAAGATTTCCGACAACGCAAAAAACATGGAATAGACAGCCAAGTCACCCAAACAGACAAAGTACACAATTTTCTCACAGATCAACTACCCCCAGAATGGAGGCCAAACCAGACTCGCGAATAGTTCATAACCCATATATTGTCAGTTCTGAAAGGATAACAACAAAACTTAGTTCAACGACTAAAAACCCGATTTCGAATAATGAAAGGATATGGAAAACATATCCTGCCTCAAGTGACCAGTGGAATAGAAACACAAAAGATGAGTTGACTACTCCTATTTCTGTGGACAAAGCGAATCAAGATTCTTGGCGTATAGCCTTTGCTTTTAAACCAGAGAATAAATGGACTAAAACTTCAGAAGATAAACCATCACCTGCTGAAATTAGATATCCTACAACGAAGAAAACGTGGATTAGACCATCAGATCAATCGTTTAAAAAGACTACATATTCCTGGCGGAAACCAGTTAATTCTAACACAGAGAATAAACCACATTCAGAAATCTCTCGCAAACCATATACTGGGACTTCTGAGAGAACAACAAAGCATAGTTCTATAGAATCCTGGACAGAAAATTCGAAATTCTGGGACAGTAATAGGAACCGAAAGACAACAGCTATGCCTAAGCAAGAAAGTAAATCAGCTACAGCATATCCTAAAAGGGTAACAGCTAGTAATATTGGTGTAAGAGGGCCTTTGGTTGCTGCTGAGAAAAGGAAAACTGCTGGATGGCATAGAGATATTTCAACTACTAGCGAAAAATGGATAGCATCTAGAAACTCAAGTACTCAGCATTCAGTTTCCAAAAAAGCTAGCAGTACAACTCCTTTGCCGAACGTCAATATCCAATGTAAGTACATTTTCATCTTGTGGTGTTCCTCCCTTTTATCTAATAACTAAGTGTGGAGGAACCCAACGAAGAGCTAAGCGAATAATTTCTTAAATTCAATAACATAAATTATTATTATTGCGCTTTATTGCTGAATTAACAGATGGCCCCTTTTTCAAGATGTACAACAAAGCTTAGGCTTAACTCAAAATTTTAAGAAATAAGTACTTAACTAATGACTAACTGGAGAGATTTAGCCGAAGCTAACACAATTCTAAGTAGTTGGCTCCTAAATATCGAATTAGCTAGCGAAGCTATCAAGAGCCCGTGATATGGCCGAGGGTAGTAACAGCTTAGAGAGACGTGGCCAAAAAACAACACGCGCTAGTCAGAAACTCTGCTTCTCTCTCTCGAAGTCAGTGGAACTTCGACTTAAATAGTACTCATTTGCATTAAACGCGATTCTAAAAACACATTCTGGTAAGAAATTTGTAAGCTGGAATTAGATAGATAGGAAAGGAGCTTTAACTTAAAAGTAACTGTTATAAATTGGGATAAACCTTACAATCTTCTTGGGATGAAAAGCTTGCATATGATCACTTGATATTTTAATTATTAAACCGAACTTAAAATTTACGAGTTAAACATTCTACATGTTATTTAAAAGGGATGGTTGTTGTCTAACCGTGGATAGTGCAATCAGTATAGAGCGCAAGAAATATATGCATGCTCAATACGAACCAATTTACTTAATGAAATATGGATTCTGAACCTGGTTCATGCTGAAAAATTGTTTTATTTTTCTTTTCCTGCAAGTGCTTTCCAGGAACTAGATGCCAGAGAATTATCAACGCGTAAGTAAGCGCATAACTTGAAGAGAAAAAAAAAATAACTCTAATTGTAAATGGGCAAGGTTAATATTCAAGAAAATAATTTCGAAATCTGCAGTATCCTTCGGAGTATTTTTATATTACCTAATATTTTCGAGAAATGCAGACATTTTAATTTATTTTAAAAAAATTAAAAATTATTTAAAAAGCTAAGACATACTATAAAATCTAAAATAATAATTCTTTAAGCGACTACCTATCTTTTCTAAATTATTAAAAACTTCAAATTAAGCTTGGTAACGACTATTTAACACGGCATTTAACATTTTTTGAAACTTAGGATTCTCGAGAATATACTGAATTATAAAATGATAAATTATATTATCTAAAAACAGTATAAACTAAATCTGTCTGTGGCATATTATGGAGGTTTTCCATTTGAATGCCAAATCTCATTACTAATTAAATTCTCCTTTTTTTACTATTTTTTATATTTAATCGAGTCTTGTTTCAACGAGAAATTTGTTTAGTAGAGACAAATTTTAATAGTGATAATCGCGGCTTCAACTTGCAGAAGATGAATTTAAATAGTGATTTTCACGGCAGAACTGCTTTCCTTTGTCCTTTTACAGAATGATTTCGCTGTCAGCTTTCATTTCACACCAGCTAAGCTGCAGCACTCCGCACATGACCAATCGAACTTAAGATGGCAATTCTTGTTAGCCAGTCCATAAATTAATCAGTTAATGAATTTAAGTTAAGTTAATCAGTTGATGAATTTAAGCCTTTAATATTTTTCTTTATTTTCTGTTTCTAAAATAACTATCTATGTAGTATATTCTGTTACGAGCATCTAAAAAAATGTTTCTATGCTGTCTGATGCAAGACGTTCGAAAAAAAGCTATAAACTTTGGGAACATTGACGTTAGACATGTATAACAAGATACGAAATTTCTTCTTTAAAAGTCGCTTCCGGCGGATGCCTGAGTTTGACATCCAATTTTTGACTTAAGGTGAACATAAGCGTGTGTGTGTTTGTATGTCTGTTATTATGGCAAAGCCTCGAGGGCTATCTGCCTAAGGGAAGGAATGTCTTCGTGGAGGACTTTCTAAGGGAAACTGGCTCGTATACACGTTACACATAGGAAAAACCACGAAAACGCCCATGCAGCCAGCCCCTTCGCGGGATTTGAACCTCGGACCGAACTACCAGTGTTCAGCGACTTTTACTGCTCGGCCGCTGGTGGGCGAACATAAACTTGAAAATAATGAGCGTATTCTGTAAATTTGAGACATAACTTTCATATGATCGCAAACGAGAAAAAGCATTCTCATTAATAAGCCATTCATTATGTTTTAATGAATAAAATAAACATTTTCCCGAAGGTTTTACATGCAGAATTCAGTTAAATTTTTGAAAATGAAGGCACTTTTCAGTACCTATTATTGACCGAAATTCCATAATTTTCGATCAGATTTAGAAAGTACTTGAAAGTGCTTCTTACTGAATGTTAGACGCTTATTATTAAATTTGTACATCTATGAAAACTACAGAGAAATGGAAACATGAGAAAGCTAATTCTTGATGTATGAAATGAGCAGGATAAAGAAAAGTAACAGATAATATTCAAGTTATAACTCTAAATGGATCGTAACATAGTAAAAATTTCGTTTTTTCACTTTCAAATACAACTGAAATAAATTTGTATATTTTGCAATACGTTTAAGAGAGATATGCATTATCAGATTTATCTAAAAATTAATGGATTTGAATTATTCATCCTTATCGTAATTAAAAATTTTGCATAAATAGCTGAATTTTCTAATCAATATAAAATTTTTACCCTGCAGTGTGTGGACTCCGCAACGTCGATCAAGGTACAAATCGAAGAGTTAAAAAAAATCTACCAAATAGTAATAATGATGCTGCAGTCTTAAATCATAGTAAGTATATCAATTCAGACTTAGAAAAATGCCAAATTTAAATTCTTAAAAATGAATAACTTTCTAGATGAACATTTAGAAAATGAAATATATATATATATATATATATATATATAGTATATAACCTCTGTGTGACTGAGTTCTTTCTAAAACACATGGATTTTAAAAGAAACTTTGAAATGATAGAATCAATCATTTTTATTATGCTTCGTACTTTTCCTAGCTCCGATAAATGCATTGGTTAAAGGTTCTGTAATAGTGAAAAAATTTTATTAAAGATATATAGAAGTACAGAAAATTTTCCTTTTAGTTTGTAAATGACTTATTGAAGTCCCCCAAAAAAAATTCAAAAAAGCAAGATAACTTTCTAGCATTCGGAGACACTAGTCAAATAAGAACAATATCAGTAGACTAGAGGTGAAGCAATAGTTTTAAAAATGGAATTACATAAGAAAATTATAAAATCAATGTATTTTTGTACCTAAAATTTCCGAGAACGCGAAAAGTGATTCCAGTTTTTCATTATAGAGTTACTTCTGAATAAAACAAATAATTTTTCATTGTTTAAAAATCTGCTAAATGTTATTAAATTAATTTAACTACTTATTTTATCTGAGAGTGTTAGAGTGTTTCGTCAACAAAACCATTAGCAGAACATTTTGTTCAAAAGTTTAGATTCCATTAACATCTGCATGCGTAATAAAGTACGTTATTCGTCACAAAAAGTCGAAGAACAGTAGCAGCTCAACCTAATATGGCTAGTTCAAAATATGTAACTCATCCGTTTTAGTTAACAAAATTATCTCTCAACAATTCACATCGGTTTATGTTATATTTTAGATCTATAAATTTTCTGGGCTTGTTTAAAATAAAAAAGACTAAATTTCAGAGATGGATTTATGGGATCGCGCAACTCTCAAGCCTGGGATTCCCATGCTAAAAGGCCCGGATTCAATGAAGTGGACTCTTCTCCATTCCATAAATCCGCAGTTATTAACCTTCCTCATATTATTAACTTCGGATACAGTTTTTGACGGCATTGAAATACGAAGACTACTTATTCACCATCAACATAAATTTCAGCAAAACCATTTAGGCAAAATTATCTGTGCCTGGGTAGCGGTCTTTATTTCGAAAGCAGGAGAGATGAAAATTGAGCAATGCCTTCGCCGGGAATCGAACCACGGACCTCTCGAATACGCGCCAAATGTGCTGACCACTACACCACGAAGGCATGCTAAGAAAGCGGGAGAAATACCTTATAACTGTAGCAGACAAACTGTTTGCTTACATTATCGAAGATTTTCGCTACAGATAATAATAAACAAACAATTAAAGCTTCAGAATTTCATATTATTAATACGTTGAGCCAGGCGCCGGTCCCTGAGCCTTATGGCCGGCGTCGTTCCCTGGGGACCGGCACTGGAATTTTCGTTTGGCCGGCGTCGGCCGGCTGAACGGAAAGGACAGCAAATTCGGCGCCGGGCTCAACGTGTTAAAATTATTAATTATTAAAATGTCTGAATTACATTGACCAGATTGGTATACTTAGAAAATTAAAAGATTGATTTATTTTACAGTCTCTGGAAGAAGTCGCGAACCTTTTCAACGAATTGTAGGTGGTAAAGAAGCCAAACCTTTTTCCTGGCCATGGGTGGTAAGCAAGCTTTAGTTTTCGTTGTGATCTACTTTGAATTGTCATTCTAAATACTGATCATTTCATAATACTCTTAAATTAAAACACGAAATGCACAGTCTAGAATAATCATACTGTCAAATTAAATTACTGAAAAATTATTGATGCTAGATTATTGTCAAAGTACTGGAAGCAACAAAATCTTGATAACTACAGTAAATGTCATCCAGAAAAGTGAATTCAGTTTTGCTGTTTTATTTGTAATCCTTTTCCCATGTGTTGATAACTTGGCACTTTCACAGATGAAAATTGTATATGCGTCACTGAGTGTTAAAAAGCTTACGTTAACCAATATATACATTCAACTATACTTAAATATCATATGGATAGCATTTATATGCATTTATATATTTTTTTAATTTATTATACGGAAGTTATTTATTACCATTATATAATGAAATAATGGAATAAGTATAGGTAGAAATGGGCGGGACGCCAGAATTTCATCATTGGTCATACAGGTCTAGTCCCGTGGCACTAATTGTGTAGTCACTCCCCAGTTTAGAGGTAAAAAACCCGAGGGCAAAGTTCGAGGATCATCCAACCCTCTTTCTCTACTCCCAACCTCTTGACAGAACTCTCCATGGATTTTGAGTGTCTCCTTTCCGCACACACACTGTAGGCTTACAAATACCTTCTCCGGGATTCGAGCCCTGATCCATCGGTTACAACGCTGTGAAGTGCTTGAAAAGGACATGAGAAGAGGCAGTGTTCTGAAGATCCTCTTTTGCCACAAAAAGAGTTATCTGAGGAAGAGGGCAACAGTAATCCGACTAAAATATTCAACACTAGAACAAATAAGCTTTCGACAGAAAAATTTGAGATGTTATAAAATTAGTTCTACTTTCGGCGCTGGAGTTTTGTTGTGCACAGGATTAACTTACATTGTTTATCCAATACTAATTGCTATCAATGCTTGCCTTGTGGGAAGTACGGAAATGCAGCTCATTTTATGGAAGACTGTCAACTGACCGAGAGTGTGAGAACGAGATTTGTAAAAATAAATAAACAGAATGTAATTGAAAAAAGAAAATTCTTGAATAGCTATGCAACAGAAATTATGAGGATTGTGAATGAAAACAAGACTATCATAGGAATAGGACTTTAAATATTTTAATCTTTAATCATTTTTTTTTTTTTTTTTAAATCTGCGTCGGGTGTGCTGCGTTAACCATGAGGCCGATTATTGTCGGCCAGGAGGATTGCAGCATACTCGTAAACTAAACTAAACTAATTGCTTTCATTTATTAAAACTGTAAGTGGAAAGTATAGTCAAAGGTCGATAAACTGAACATTTTACCCAAGAACTATCAGAGATTGCCATGATTATGGCAAACTATATTGGGTTTGAATAAAATGTTGGTGCTTTTCAAGTTTCAATATGCATAACATATGCTTTTCCAGCGGTTATTTTGTTTTGGTAGAAATTATATTATCTATGGAATATAGTTTATCTGGAAAAGCATGTAAAGAATTTATATAGGTAATCTATCTTGCCAATGAGCACCTAACCTAGGCACATCAGTTGATGGCAAATGATGAGCGTAACTATTTAGCCGCTTGCGGATACTCATCTGATGTTCAAAACACATTCAGTTTATTGATTCCAAAAACGCGCTGCAGTTTCTTTCTGAGCTACATGGGATCCATGAGCTTGGGTCTGAAGGGAGAACAGACATTAACATCGAGTACGATCCTGTGTGAGAAAGTGCAACAAACAGACTAGTGCACTGGTAGCAATAGAACATCCAATACTTGTTCGAAATCGATTGCTTCTCAGAAAATGTTACACAAAGACACCCTTTCCAACGCTGATATCCTCATTTGTTTTGGCATTTTTAATTAACAAACGTGAATTCCGTCTCGTATTCTTTTGTACTTTTTAGTCAGTGTGTTATAGGAGCTCTATATTTTTAATCTTGTATTATCTTATCATATTTTAGGCTGCTTTATACAAGGTCACAGAACAAGGAGGTAACCGGTTCCTCAGCGCAGGATCTCTCATCAACGAACATTTTGTGCTTACAGCAGCTCATGTTTTTACGTCAGATGATTTAAGGTAAACAGAATTCTTACTTCCAGTGTGTACGTTATGACGTTGACATAACTTATGATTGTTCTTTCTTATGATTTTATTTCGTAGCTTATGAATGTTTCATTTATTTAAGTATTTATTGTATTTAGCTATTTATTTAAATACTTATTGTGTTTCATGGGCTACTGTATCTGGTTTTGTTATGCCAGTCATTGTGGTAAACATTACTTAAACATAAATCTAATTTATTGTATTAAAAAAAACATGATAGTATTGTAGAGACATTAGCAATTTTCGAAGCAAGAGAGATGAAAAATGAGCAACGCCTTCGCCGGGACTCGAACCACGGGCCTCTCGAATACGCGCAGAGTATGCTGACAACTACACTACGAAGGCATGTTAAGAAGGCGGGAGAAATACCTTATATACTTCCCATTTTAAAGGGCAACTAGGGATAAGGGGACCCAATCGCCAAATCTTGGTGGGGAGAATCATCATCCACCACCCTTTTAGTTAAGGCGCCACTGTAGAGACATTAGGTATTTTTTGAGAGCAAAAGAGATGAAAAACGAGCAACGCCCTCGCCGGGATTCGAAACCATTGACCTCTGGAACACGACCAGTTCTGACCACTGCACTACGAAGCCATGCTTAGAAGAGGGGATAAATACCTTATAGTATCCAAAATCTCAAGTTTAGAAGCTACTATACCACAGTAAAATATAATATTTCGCATATTAAGTTTTTAGAATATTCGCAAGTAATTTAGAATAAGATGATTTTTTTTTAACTCTGTTTTTTTTTCGCATAATTTCTTAAAGATCCTCAAAATTTATTTCATATCGCTAGTTTCTTTCTTGCAAATATTTCACACGCACTTGGCGTTAACATTAAAGACCCGTTAATACGAGACGAGAAAGTTGTTTGACGACGTATTTGTCCCTCCTCTTGCTTAGCAGCAATTCATCTACATAGAGCGATTTTGGTTTAAAGTTGCTCTAATATGTAAATAAGGTAAATGAAATGAATATTACTTCATGTAAAGCACCTTTCATATTTTTTTAAAAATTAATATGGCATGCATTCATATTATTTCATTGCTTTTGACAAAATCAATCAGAGCAACGCTGTTAGTTGCTGACCACACCTAGCTTTTCGTCTTTAAGGCAATAATAATAACTTTAGCATTTGCAGCAACAATGGAGTAGCAGATGATCCGTTGAGCCCGGCCTTTGGATTCATCTTTAGTGTTAAATCTCCTGAACTATCCTTTGCTATATATAACAAACAATATTTTGGTTTGAATGTGTGCTTGCTTAAAGAGGGTGCGATTGATACAAGGCTCTTAGGATTTCGATTTCTGTTGGGGGTCTTGTCTTTGATTGCTTTGCACTTTTAATGTGATTGCTTTGCACTTTTAAGGGACGAAATACACTTTGCCCAAGACTATTCTCCTAAAAAACGGACATAAACACCTAAAGCACTTCAGGTGCTGGAATGAATAAGGATAGAAACGTTCTTTGCAAAGCATTATCGTAAATGCGGTTTTGTTGCTTCTCCTTAGGGAATGGCACTCGAAGAAGTCAAAGCAAATTTTATTATTGATACAAAAGCCCAGAAGAAGATGCATTTTAAGCCACCATTTTAAGTCATCTGTTTATTTATAATTTCTAGATATATATATAACTGTTTTAAAATTCCTCTTCAGTCAGAATTTACTAAAAAAATAGTCATATTGTTTACTAATTTAAGCTAAAATTGTTAAGGCATAGTTAATATTTTTATGTTTGACAGTTATAATTACTGCTTGACGTATTGATTCTGTCATTAAGGATGAGAAAAGTCGAAGTTTTAATTTAAATATTAGTTTTTTACTCTTGTCAATCTAGGTCATCATCGTATGTGGTGATGTTAGGGACTCACACTGCAAAAGAGGCAGTAGCCGAATATATGGTAACGTCGGTAATCCGACATCCAGAATATCAACAACGCTATTATTATAATGACATCGCTCTGCTAAGGTTGGATCGGCCCGTCTCCTTTAACGATTATGTCATGCCCATCTGTCTACCATCCCCTACAGCTCCGCTTCTCAGGGACGAGAACCTTGTTGGCAAGAATGTCACTGTCATGGGATGGGGAGATGACTCATATGGTAAGTAGAAGAATAATGTTCCATGTATTTAAACAACTATACCAATATAACTGTAATTCCTTTATAACAAGGATTATAATCCTATATATGCAGGGGACCCGTAAGTTCAGCATTAAGAGGAATTTCATAGAACACCAGTATCATCTTAGGCAGCAATAAAAACATGAAAAATTGTTTGGGGTATACTAAAAATAAAATAAAAATACAACAGAAAAAACTGAAAGTAGACAATTGATAATCAACTATATGGAAGAGTTTTACTTCGAGTTGTTTTCTGGATGACGTTGGCACAATGTTATTTTCAAAATGAAAAGGATGCGTATATATACCGGGTGGCCATAATTAAACTGATAGTGCTCACAGTGTTCTGTAGCGCAATCTATTTGCGAGAATGACGCTACATTTTGTAGGAAGATTAAACAAGACGGAGGACAAAGGATTCCGCGAAAAAACAAATTAGTTCCAAAAGTCACCGCTAGGGGAATATTTGGCGCTGTGTAATAGAAAATAGAGTGTTTAACAAATGCAAATTAATGCGGAATAAAATTTATCGTATGTCTATTCTTCTATGAGAACATTACCCCGACAGGACCGGAAACCTGCTCTGTTACCGGAGAGAAATATCGCCACATGGTAAACAGCTTTGTCATTCCGGCACTTCAGCAAAGACAATGCCAGGGAGAAATCATTTTCATGCAAGATGGAGCTCCTCCACACGTTGCTGTACGGGTGCAACAGATGCTACGACAGAAATTCAAAACAGAAAGAGACATTAGCCGCTACTTTCCAACTGCATGGCCACCTCAGTCGCCTGATCTTGCCCCATGCGACTTCTGGCTATGGGGTGACCTTAAGTCTATCAAGGTCTATCAAGGAAGTGGTCCAGGACCCTGGCTACGTTGAAGGATAACATATCACTGACTGTACGGGAGATTCCTGCAGACATGTTACTTTCTGCTGTTGTGCATAGTGTGCACAGAATGCAATATGTGATCTACAACAACGGCAGCCACACTGAACCTCATTTGAATGCAAAGTAAAAGGTAATTTGCATTTGTTAACACTCTATTTTCTATTACACAGCGCCAAATATTCCCCTAGCGGTGACTTTTGGAACTATTTTTTTTTCGCGGAATCCTTCATCCCCCGTCTTGTTTAATCTTCCTACAAAATGTGGCGTCATTCTCGCAAATAGATCGCGCTACAGAACACTGTGAGCACTCTCAGTTTAATTATGGCCACCCGTTATATATAAATTCAGTGGATGCGTAGAAGAATTAAAGGTTGTGTACAACTCCAAGGTAAGGAATAATATCTAAAACGTAGAAACTCAGTGACTTCCTTCATTAACCGGGATGCAGTTTAGCAAAACATTTTGTTTAAATACCTTATTGGGGAAATATTAAACCAACTGCTTTCTTAGGTTGTCTATAAATAATTTCACAGAACTCATTAATTAAATGAAGTTTCTTAGAACTAATAAATAAAACAATTTGTAAGGATTTATATTCATTTTAAATAACCAATTTAATTTAACTTTTCGTTCGTTCCCATAAGCCTTCATTCCCCTAACTGTCAATGCCAGAATATTTAAATTTGGTAGCTAGCGCGCGTGATGTAATGCAAATTCTACCTTGAGGAGAAAAAGTTTAAATACCAAATTCTAGAAGGAAAATAAGATAGTTTTGGGCATTCGCCGTCACCTCTGTAGCGTAGCGTAAGCTTCTATTTGTACATTTAATTGCTGGTTTACGTGGTATAGCAGCGACTACTTTGCTGCTACTAGATTTCGACACGGTTTTAAATAACAGGAGTTTCTGAGCCCTGTAGCTTAATTTCTAATATCTTCGAATTTTTAGTTTAATTCTTGTTGTTTCAGTTACCGCCCGAGTGAGGCGTAGTGTGTTAATCGACGCATTGTGAATTTTAAAGTGTTTAATTAAGGGTACTTTCACACTTCTCCTGTGTAATTCCTAAACGCACTTAGTACACGTACAGTTGTCACTTTGAAGATAAGCAAGTGGATCTTACAAATTGATACTAATTTTAAAGAATTCTGAGGTGGAATTTGTTTTCTGTATCTCATGCTATGTAATTCGCTGGTTGTGTTTATGTTCTCTGTGCTACTGAAGTTGTTATTACCATACAGAAGTCAAATTTTTGAAGATTTTTCTCATTCTTCTGTATGCTAAATGTAAGATTTTTTTAACAAATGGAAAGAGGAAATAAAATAGTGATCACAATAATTTAATGTAGCAGAGCAATAGTTATAGCTCGAATTTATTTGCGTAGTTCTACAGGATTCACAGGATTCATGATTCTACAGCCATGATTATTCAGGTTTTTTTTTTTTTTTTTTTTTTTTTTTTTTTTTTATGTTTAAGTAGAAATTTTCTAATGACGTCAGCAGCTCCATATTATTTTATTCCGTACTACTTTTTAAAGACAGAATAGTACGCGCATTATGTCAATAACAATGTGGAACTAAGAGCCTCTCAGGAATTTAGTGAATAAATCAAAGGAACATAGGATAAGAACTAGAGAATATGGAAGAGTATAAACAGTGGTACAGTATTTCCCATCCTCATTTTGACAGCAGTTCACAAAGAATATTAATCACAACATTATGGATACAGGCAATGGATGATAATTGGCGAAATTCTAAAAAAGTATAGACAGTGTTCACATAAATACCACTGCAAAAAAATGTGCGTTGTACGGAGCCTTTATTGTTTGTCCATAAGGTACTTCTTCAACAATAATTATACTTCGTAGTCGTGCGCAGCAATAAGCTTAAGTTCAGTGTTTGTGAAGACACCCATTTATTTTTAGGAAGTAGACAGCCATAATAATGCTTTTCGTGAGATTGTTTCCATTGAACTACAAACAAGATTACTGTTCCTCCAAAGCAATTAATAATATTTTTTTGGGGGGAATCACTCCTTCACAATCGTATAGTTTAGGTAGATCATAGCAGGCTTGTAATATTGTCAAATATCAATATCCATGGGCGCTTAAGGAGTCCGCATGCTGAAATTTTGTGAAATCCCTAATGGCTGACACCGATTTCATTCCTGGTCGATCGACTAGGAAAATGGAAATTGTTCAATGCTTGAAATTTGAAACACACGATATTATCTTTCAGGTGGTGTTACTAGCCGGGTACTGAAAGAAGCCACTGTTCCCATCGTTTCACGGCGATCGTGCAACGATTCATACGTCCGAGTGGCATCGAATAGATTTCCCAAGGGAATCACCGAAAACATGCTGTGCGCAGGATCTCCCAACGGAGGAAAAGATGCATGTCAGGTAATATAAGACATTTTACAACATAAATTATCCCATTTAACATATGAGATTTTCGGAGTAATTCTTTACTGAATAATAAATGTCTGAAAAGGAAAAAATAAATTATTATCATCAATTAGTTAATAAAGTTGTCAGGCATATTTACACCCCAGAAAATAAAGCACTAGCCGAGTGGTTCTTAACCTATTTTAACCCATGCATCTCATTCACCATCGCTGGAAGACCATTCCCACCCTCCTTTCCGAAACTTGAAGATTATATATGTGTGTGTGTAAAATATAAAATATCTAATATGTAAAATATAAAATCTAGCTTACAAATAATAAATTAATAGCCCTTCCGTTTCTTTGTAAAAGTAACAGCAATAAATTTGTCTCTTTGCAGTTCTGATGCGCAACCGATAAAATATGAACCTAACATCCTGTAAAGTATCATGTGATCTGAAATGGAATTTAGTATAAAAAGGTCAAATGCGTCACAGCTTCGCTGCTGCTTTGCATTGCCGCTAGCCTTGTAGAGTTTGTTTTTCTAAATTCGTCAATTGTTTAAGATGCAAGCTGTTAAAAAATTGGGAGGTGCATAACGCATCCTCAACGATAATGTGAGTTATCCAAAAAATAAAATTTACCGTTATGCGTGTTTTTTCGAGTGCCATCTTTCTAACTGCGAAGCAAAGTCTTCAAGTTATGAAGCAGTCCTGTACGACAAACCAAGTCATTATATTTCAATAATAACGCAGTCTCATCACAATAATGGAGTAGTTTTATCGTATGTGTGTAATATTATATATATATATATATATATGATTTGGAAGTCAGGCACAGGAAAGAAGAACCTTGGTATCAGAATCCGGACATTGTTGTGGCTGAGTGTACGTTAAGGCATCCAATGACGACAAAGAAGAATAACTTTATAGCTTCATATCTTTATTCAATGCAAATGGCAGATCATTATTCCTTCAGATTAAATTCTCGAAAATTACATATCCAATTTAACGATTTAAACCAAATACGATTACTTTAAATTTACTGTGTTGTACTATTTGAACAAAAGGAGACAGATAAGAAGAGCAGCTGCAAAGGTCTGATAGCAGCAGAAGAAGAAAACAGTCTAACGAAAAATGGCGAGAACTCTGTATTTATAGTAGCGGTTATATAACATGCAAGAATGTTCTCGAAAGTACTGGTCTAGGGGGAATATCCTGAAATTAAGGAAAGTTAATTAGAGGTTGCCTGATCGCGTAGAACAAAGCCATCGTATTTTTTATATTTTACATAATTATCGCCATTCACCGGAAATTAGTTGACTTTTCAAAAGGAATAAACTAATTTCCGATTAATTAAGAAAAATTAATAGATGCGAAAGTTTTTTTATGTTTTTCTCAAGTAAGAATAAAGACCAAAAAAGCTGTTTAGTAAGACTGAGTGAAAATTATTCAAAGTGCTAATTAAGAAGCAGTAATATTCAATACTAATATATTTCAAAATATCCTATAAGTATACTAAATAAGAATTAATGAAATGCGAAATTAAAACCTAAAAATTATAAAAATCAGAAAATATATATCAAAACCATAAAAATAAAGAAAGAGGAATTCAATTAAATCTGATGTAACATTATCAAGAGAATGATACATCAGGTTCAATTACAATCCCCCTTCCTTTGCGTTTCTGTTGTATACAAAAAATTTTTTAAACCAAATTGGTCTTTTTATATAGTACTTACTACCTAGCTTTTTAATTTTAATTCATAGAATTGAAATATAAAGAAAAGTCGATATGTTATTTAAGAAAAAGACCCGATTTTATGTTAAAATACCTATGTCTGAAGTAAGCTATTGTTGCTTGCGTACCGGTTCGTTAGAAATTGAACGCACAAGTCCGATGAAAAATGAACAAAATTTATTATGACAACAAAAATGCTTAAATTTCTTCAGATATTCGGTAGTTATCTTTTAACTAGTTAAACGTTCAAGACAACTTAATTCAAAACAGCTAGAGAAAGCTAATCCGCGAATTCGTTATAGCCAACAAGAGCAGTTCTCTAAACAAACTCTTAAAACAACAACTAACTAAATATCGAATTGAGAAATCGAAATCGAAATCGAGTGAATGGTTAGGCGGCATTTAGTAGCCTTTGCTACTTTAACCGTCTCTGTTGGAGATCTGCCCTAAGGCGTTGGGAAGAATTAAAAATAATTTATTTACACCGCACCGACAAAAGTGAAGCAGGAACATGTGCTAATGCACGTGAGTTGGTCAAGTAGACTTTGGAGAAGAAGGGTTCAAGCATCTGGCCGCCGTACAAGCTGTATCTTCACTAGTTGAAGAAAGATGATACGTCGAGGCCAGTCACGTGGGTGGTCACCCACCCAAGTACTGACCCCGAGCTCTGCTGCTGTAAACAGGGGAACCTGTGTGTTGAAAAAGTGAAAAGAAATCGTAAACATAGTGAAATTCCCTCAAATGCTTCTAAGCTGGTGATTACTCTTCACTTTCAGCAAATCTCATCAGTGTCATGGCTGCTTTGAACCCGGCAGTAAACTTCTCAGCCGTGGTTTTTGCAGCGCGGATCTTCTCAACGTGCTCAACCATACTGTTCAGAAATTTTTTGATTTTAGGATCTTGGATCCAGTTTATGATATCCTTGTACTCTGTGGGTGGGTTTTCCAATTTTTTCTTTACTCTATCACTGTAGAGAGGTTTCATCTGGGTTTTACTGCTGTCTTCCTCTGTTTCGATGAATTTCGGAAAATCTGCCGGCGTAGGGATCTTAGCTGCTGGCTTCGCCTGCTGCTTCTTTGCTTCATATCGCTTCTTGTACACGGGGCAACCCCTGTATGAACTTACATGCGGTAGTGAGCAGAAGATGCACTTAGGTTTTTTCTTCTGGCTTTAGAGGGCATTCTTTACTTCTATGGTGCTGTCCACACTTGCAGCATCGCTCAGGATTTGAGCAAAGATGTTGCGAATGTCCATATTCTTGACATCTATAGCATTGAATTACGCGTTTTTTTCGGGGCAAACTTCTCGATCTTGACATTAACACTTAACATATTGTTGAGTCCATGAATTGCACGTCCTTCCTTCGTTTTCTTCAGCTCCAACAGGAAAATCGGAAGTTTCTCGATAGCGTCTCCTCTTCGTCTGGAAAACTGCTTGACTTTACTTATCGGGAATTTCCTTCTCTCCAGATCTGCCTGGATTATTTCTTCCTTCATCGTCGATGGGAGGCCCTTAAGAACAACCTTAATAGGTTTTTCGCTGAGTAACTGGAAAGTATGAAATGGTATATTTCTTTTCTGCAAAACCAGAGTTGCTTTTCTGTAATCGTCTACTGACTTTAAATTAACATATAGTAGTTTCATATCGGCTTCGAATTCTTCACTGCAGGTATTGATAAGGATTTCATGAATTTTAGGCCAATCCACTTCGCTTTGCTGGGAAACTATTGGGGGTGGAGTTTCCTCTTTTTCGGCTCCTCCTTCTTCTTCCATACCTTCTACTTCACTTAGCTGCTCAAATCGATTTTCCGTCGTAACTTCCATTGGAGCTTCGTTTTCTGATACTTTCGCGGTTTTCTTAGGAGAAATCCATTCTTGTTCCCTGCTGTCTGTTCCTCTTTCAGTTATCTGCCCTGGATAAAATTTTTTCGTGAATGTCTCTACATCCATCTCACCCTTAGTTCTTTTATGAAAGTAATTGCAAATTACGTCAAATCCAAATTTCGCAATCTGGTCCCGGATTTCTTCTTCAGAACATGACTTGAATTTTGGGATGTCCTCATCATTTCCCATTGATAAATCTTCTGGTGTCTGTTCATCAGTAGCTTCTCCATTCGGTGTTTGAATGTCTCTTTTTTTCCTTACCAGGTTTAACATCTTTCTTCTTACTTGGTTGTTCGCTTTCCGTATCTGACATAGTTTTCGCCTTTTTCGCTTTACTTTTCTTTTCTTTGGCCATAAGGATGAAATCCTCTTTCTTCAATGGATAGGTCTTGTTGGTTTTGGACGAACGCTCGCTTCGGTAGTCCTCTTCATCAGAACTATCGAGTGGTGTCCTATAAAAGGACATTTTTGTTTTTCGGTTTCGCAAATCAATGACTTATTTATAGACACAAAAATTTTAACAATTCTTACATCGTAAGAGATATTATAACTCAGAATGCACAAAATTTATAACGAATTGAGAGGTTTTCATGCCGCTTATATAAGCTTTTCAAAGGCGCGAGAATTTTATGGTATTTTCTCGAAATCAAAAAGAGATATTTATTTATTAAATGTTAAATGCACGTGCTCTTGTATTTTTTAATTTTCCGGCTTAGCTTTCTCATAATATTCGTCACGCGCTGCACTGCGCGGGAATAAAACCAATTTAATTTATAATTTTACTAACATTAGCCATTTAAATACCAAATCCGTAACACTATATATAAATCTAATTTTCCAGACATGAGAGATGGAAGTTAAATTTCGTCAATCGGGGGGGGGGGGGCAGTAGAACGAGAGATATATAAGAGTGTCTTTCTTTCTTTTGGGGGGGGGCGTAATGGCAAACCGCACATTGAGTTGACCAATGTTAAACGAATTTCGCTTACTGCGCATGCCCAAAAGAGAATTTGGCGCAGTTACGACTTTGGCGCAATTTTAAAAGAAGATGAATACGGTATATGGTTGATATTGTGTTATCTTGGGCGTAAACAGCTCGAGGTTTTAAAACATGTCAGGTTGTAAGTTGCTTCATTTCTTGGAGTGTAAATGTTGATTGTAAACTACCTAAATTTTCTTTCAAAAAGGATTACAAAACAGGAAACATTAAAAGATGTATTAGCTAATTATACTTCTGAGGAATAAAAACAGTTGAGTATTTACCATGCGTTCCATTCATATATACTTTAACAAATTAAGCATTAAATCTAGTTTAAATTACTGAATTAAAGGTCAAATAAATTACTTTAAGTAAATGAAATAGACTGTTGCAATTTAAGAAGTCGATAAGATCTACATGACGAACAGGCTTGTGTGGGGTTGCTTATGCTTAGTCGCCTGTATTTTCTCCCACGCCAGCGGTACACCATTGAGCATGCGCAGTAAGCGAAATTCGTTAACATTGATCAACTCAATGTAAGGTTTGCCATTAAGCTTGGGGGGGAGGATGCTGCGTTAACCTGCTTATTAAACAGTAATGGAAATCCTGTAAGTTAACGTTAATGTTTGCTTCATTTTTCCTTTTTGATTGCGGTAATATTTAGGTTTTTATAAATTATACATCCTTTCTTAATTTGAATTATACCTAACCCGTTTTCCCCATGGAAAATTGTGCTAAGCGCGATGTTTCAGCGGCGTAATGCACACGTTCAGGAAGGGTTTACTGTGATTACAGACTTGTTGCATTAAAGTTCACAAGAATAGCTTGAGTTCAGTATTTTCATGCTGTACTTTCTATTTAAATTTAGTATTAAATGTAAAGGAACTATAGCTAAGATGTTGCCTTTTACATAGACCTCTGAGGAATGATGAAACATCACCAAACAAGAAAAATCATTCTCTTATGAAATATGAACGAAGTTACTTTATAGTTTTTTTTTTCCAACTGTTAAATTTAATTTTTATTAAATCGTGTTTACCAACACAAGATTTATTAAAACCAACTAATTATAATATTTTGTATTTTAGGGATGAAGATGAATTCTATTGTGTTCCTTTTGTTATCTCTTTCTCATTAATAATGTAAATATAACTGCCGTTTCACACTGAAATTTGTAGTTTGCTATCATATAATTCTACCATTTACAAACTATTTTCAATAATCAATAATTTGCAGTTGTATAAATTGCTTAAGTTTTTTTTTTTTTTTTTTCGGAAATATTTCTAACGTTCCAGGGAAAATATTTTTATTGCATATATAGAATTTTTATTTATAAAACTTTGTTTTGCTCATGCTGTTATATACAAAAATAGCTAAAAGACAGTAAAGGCAGTTATCTGCTTGGTTAAGAACCAATTTATAAAGTTCGGGGGTCGAGTCCCATTCATTATTACGAAAGCGTCTAAAGAAAAGTAGAACAGTCATGCTCAGATCGTTATCTTTTGGCTACAATAGCAAAGTGTTCTTTGAAAATAAAATATGGCAATATATATAATATAGATGATGCCTGTTGACGGAGGTGACAGAAGTAATAAGGCGAGACAGGTTTTTAAATATTTCGATAAATGCAATGATGATAATGAATTTAGGGTCGATTTGCTGTTTTATATAATGCAAGTAAATTTATTGCTGTTGATGAACACTATTGACTATTTAAGCAATTTAAATTAGTAAAAATATTGTTTAGCAATAAATCTTTAAGTGTTTTAATTATTGCATTAATTTGCGTTGCATTTATATATTTCTTTATTCGATAATAGGCGAAAATATTTCATTTCCGTTTCCAAATTGTCATTCTTCGAAAATTTGACTCTTATTCACGCATTATTTTCAATATGATTTGAGATCAGTATAGTTTATTTGTAAATATAGGATCTGATTTTGTTTCATTAAGAATTTTCATAATGGTATTTTATCTTTTTCTTTTAGGGTGATTCTGGTGGTCCGCTGACTAGCATGGAAAATGGAAGATACACGCAAGTGGGAATAGTATCATTCGGGTACAAATGTGGAGATAAAGAATTTCCTGGTGTGTATACCAAAGTCGCGCCTTATCTTAGCTGGATCGCCCAAAATACGATTCAAGACAACTTCTATCATGGTTATGGAGATTATCATAGAAGATAATGTTAATTTCCAGTTCCATTTGCACAGCTATTTTGAAGATAGCTTCCAACAGCTGATGAAGTGATGATAAATAATTATGTGCAACTTTTAGTTGCATTTTCAGACACAAATCCAGCTCCGAAGCTTTGCGATAATTATATCTGGTTGCAGACTACTTAATGAAAAAGTACGCACAGAAGAAAAGAATTGCACCTCCGTGATTGCAAGATATAATGACAATCAATTCAAGTTATACCTTGGACACCTTGCATTCATTTTACGAATCGGACGCGCTAGACATTTTTGTAAAAGGATTGTATTAATATGTGGTTCACTGGATGTAGGATTACCTGCATGAATTTCAAAGACAGTGATTGTTTTGTCAAAACCTTCAGCAAGTAATAAAATTTTGTAAACAGGGTTTGTTTCTGTTTGCTTCTTTTGAAGCAAAAGAAGTAGTCAAAGAAGTTCAAGTCACTATGCTGATTATTAAATGCAGAGGATCTGCTAGATATTTAAAAGAATAAGAAAATATTTGCAGCTTATGTTTGCAGCTGCTGTATTAAGAGATAACAAACTGTGTTGCTCCTAGACTGAGTGAGCATAAGAACGAATAAATACATGCCGTGAATTGTAAAAACTTTAGTTTATTATTTTAACAACTACATGTGTTGAACTTAAAAAAATTTTTGTGATGGCTTAAAAGCTATTGTTTTGCCAAAAGATATGTATTAAAATATTATACATAAAATACTGGTTTAACTTATATCCAATGAAAATATTAATACGAGGCAAAACTTCTGAGAGCTGAAGGACAATTTTAAAGTAGTTTAAACCATTTCTGTATAATATTTCATTTCGGTAGTTGACGTGTAAATATACTTAAAATAAAGAATATTTTATATAGAAAATTTTATATTTTAAATAAAATATTTCTTTTATATAAAATATAATATTTTTATATAGAAAGAAGAAACAAATTTATAAAACCCTTTAAATAAAAAAGGGTTTTATAAATTTGCTTCATTTCATCTTCGAAGCAATTGCAACGTTTGGTGAACAGATGGATATTAAAGTAATTATAAAATAAGACGTTAGTCTACACTTTTAATTTAATAATTTTTAAGCAATAAACATTTTTAATAATGCTGTTTCATTTAAAAAATAATTTGTGCTGCCTGTCATCTCTACTTGTTTCCTTACTCAAACATTGATTGCTCAGTTTAAACAATAAAAGTATGGATTGTAATTTAGCTGAATTTTCATGTTGAACTTAATATTTAAATCGTACTGATTACTTATTCAGCAGAATAATCTTTTTAGTAATAATTGCAATTCTAGATGCAGTCTCAAAAACTGCTTTTTTTATTTTTTTAACGCTGTACATTTCTATATGAAATCTAATCTATTCTGAAGTTTTAATTCACTGATTTCTCGCTGACGAGCCTCGTCTATGTTTTATTGACTTATTACTGTATCGGATATAATATAAGGTGTTCTCCTTTTCTTTAAAATACCCTCGTATGAGCCATTTCCGTCTGATCCAACTCTACATATAAAGAATATATTAAGATAATTGATCACTCGTGTCATTTTTCAAAGTACTTTCAAAATTTTTGTCATCTTACATGCGACATTGTCGTGCATTCGGACCAATAGTGATTTATAATTTTATATGTACGTTTATTTAATATGAACTTTAAAACAAAATGTTACTTAATTCTGAAATCTTAAAGGGAACTGTCATATGAAATTTTAAATACAAACAATTATAAAACATAAAATATATTGGTTTAGTAACCAGTTAATGTAATCTGATTTCAGTACAAAACAGAGAATTTTATGCATGAAATTACAGCAAAAATTTGGCACATTCTGAGTATTTTTTTATGTATGTTCACTGTATATATTTTGTCACAATTTTTGTATATCATTTACTACTTAATATTAGATTTTAGTCACTAAATGCATTTTACTAAAATAAGATTAGTAATTTTTTCAAATGCCTTAAATGTATTGGAAAAATTTTATATTTATCTTAAATGCTTAGATCTCATACAGCATTTTCTTAATTTTATGATAAGCAATCAGTTAGGTACCTTTTAAATTATTAAATGGTGCAGATTTAGCAGACATGTTGATTACAATCTAAGTCTCAGGGTTTATTCATTGATAATATTTATTATATGATTTTATTTTCTTATCTGCTTATTTTCTACGATATGTAAAATATTTTTAACAAAATAAAATGTTTATTTGAGTTTTTCACTGTTTTTTGTTTTTTGTTTTCTTTTGAGTCATTCTGCCTAGAGTTTGAATTAACATATTGAATTAAGAAAAAACTGTTATTTTGTTGATCATCCAAGCTAAATATTACTGAAAAGTTTGGTTACACAAACGAAGTAAGTTTGGGTTGTGATGTTCGCCAGAGTAAGTAATAAGAATTTCTCATTCTGGAAACTAATATCACCTTTCTGAAATAGGTGGCATAGACTATCGTTCCTAGTTTAGTAATGATTTTGTGTAGAATCTGTTGTTTACCATGGCAGTAGCGCGCTATTCTGCTCCTCGTACGAGCTTTTGGTTAAGACCTCTATATAAAATAGCAACTCTATATTAAAATTCCAGTAAGCAAATTCCTACTTACGTGTCCGTTATTTTTAATCAAAGTAATTTTAGATCATTTTTATTAAAATTCTCTACATCAAGTAATAACAATAAAAAGAATTTTCCAATACTGAAAAGAAAACTGATACACAGTTTCATACATATATCTAGTACTAAACATTGTTTCTTGCATGAAATACTTTGTTTTTTCAGTGCTTAAGAATGAATGTTAGCTCTGAGTAAATTTGTGAATGTCTCGGTTACTATTTAGATATAGTTAATGCTTCAAAAACATAACTTGAATCTGTCAGTGATAGGTTATGGGTCATCTGGAGTTGGACATCTTCATACAGCATTTTCTAAGACCTAATTGTTCTAGAAAATATCATTTCAAGTATAGGAAAGTTAGCTTCTGAGCATTGAAATTGAATAATCCTATGGAAACAAAACTTTTAATTCTGTAGGAAAAAATGGCATAGTTGAAAGTTTTGCTTGCAATAGGAATAAACATAAAAAACATTTTTTTTTTTGACGCGGACATTTTTGAACAGTTAATTAAGCCTTAATTTGCACAAGAAATATATAAAACTTATCCGCTAATTACAGCATTGTTTTAGAGAATTTGCAGCACTTTAGAATTTATAACGCTTTTAAATTTTATCTTGGGAATAAGCAATTTAAAGCCGTAAATAAATTGTCTCAGTGATTTTGCCGCACATTTTAAATGAAGGATTCTTATAAATTCTTCTTATTATTTACTGTCAGCTTTGTTTGGGATTTATTATTAAATTTATTAAAATCTTAAAAACCAGTTGAGATCAGAAGTAGTTCAAGAATCGTAATATGCAGAAGCCGTAAAGAAAAAGCAGGAAAGAACGTTAATAATTTACAGCTTAACTTTTCTGGAATTTATTGCACACGAGGATATTTCACGTATAGAAATAAGGAAAATAACCGAAAACAAACAGACAATTGAGAATTTAAATTATACAGAGCGTTTTAGTCATACGCTATTTTTAAATAATGCTATAACTAAGTACGTGATTTTAAAATATAAAAAAAAAAAAATTATACCAGTATGATGTTTCGAAAGAATTCAAAATTATTTACTACTCTGAGCACGAAAGAGGGTTTAAAGAATAGATCGACAAGGTCACTTTTGAACAAAGAACTTCATTTATTTGAACAGGTATAGCTTAACAGTAATGTTCATTCTAAATGTCAGATTGGTGCGAATATCATACGGAATGTTTTTTCTTGAAATGCTTTCTTTGAAAGTCATCGCCGTATTTAACGCGCATCCTAAAATATGTAATATACGTTAGGATTTATAATTAATTTTCACTAATCTCTAATATTGTTTATTATTACAGTTTCAATCTTACTCTGTTCTTTTCGTCTTGGGACCGTCTTTTTTGCTCGTTCAGAAGTATAATCAGAGGACCTTGGTTCGGAGGGAAAAGAATGAACTATTCCTGTCATTAATTATCATCAGTCTAAGCGGCGACTCGAATTCAGCTCATGTTAGCCAATTGCCGACTGCTTTCCTTTCAATTCTGGTATCAATTTCTAAGAATTTTTACCAGTTTTTCCTAAAATGCCTATATATGGCCATTCATGGTGAGGTTTTTTTTTTTATTATTATTATTTATTTATTTTTATTATTATTAAATAGGGCGCAATTGCACTGCTCACCCTAAGGCGAAAATAAAGTTCATGAGTTTGAATCAGGCGATTTTGCTGGGGTGGAAAGTCAAGGTGGTCAAAATTACTAATCTCAAGGAGGTCAAAATTACTAATCTCAGTCGTAAAAGCATTGCGGTAGCATACATTCAGTAGGAGTGTTAATCTTGGATTCATTTATAGTACTAAATAAATAAACTCCTTTATAATTAAGACCCAATAACACGCCGAACAAATCCTAATTCAGAAGTCAAACAACAAAAATCAGCGTTAAATTTTCAAAATTTTCACAGGACTAGTTCGAATGGTTTTACCGAGCCACCATCCTCAGCAGCAAAACCGCAAATGAACAAGATAGGAAATAATGATTAGATAAGATAAGAAAGCCTGGACAAGAATAAGCAAGTGGCGCCATCTGTTGGTGAAACCAGAACTAAAACATAATTTCTTTAAAGGCCGAAGGCAAAGATGGATTGGAATTAGGATCGTTAATTTGAACAGGAAGATTTTTTTTTTTTGGAATGTGAAATGCCTCTAGAAAATCCAGCTCTCCAATGGAAGATGTTTTTTGAATAACTTTGGCAGCAGAAAAATTGAAAGTGTGATTTTCGGACGAACAATGTTGACCAACAGAAGACTTCTGTGCTAAATATTACAAACAAACTGAGGGATTAGCCATGGGAAACCCCCTCAGTCCGATCCTTGCTAATATCTACATGCATTATTATGAATCAAAATTGTTTGAAACTTTAAACTTCTCGGTATGGTTCCGCTACGTAGACGATACTTTTACCCTGTTTGAAGGTAATAAAGATGATTTAAATAAAGTTCTTTCAACAATGAATTCTATTGATCCTGCTATTCAGTTCACTTTTGACTTGAGACTTGCAATTCTCTTCCGTTTCTCGACATTCTGGCCACATGTAACACATCCAACTTCAGTACTACGGTTTACCGTAAACCATCATCGGTTTGCCTTCCACCACACTTTAAATCATGTCATCCGACTAAACAAAAGTTAGCTTCATTTTATTCCTATGTTTTTCGTGCTCTTCAAAATTTGCTCCTCCAAACTATCCCTTGATGAAGAACTAAATTATTTAAAAGCAATAGCTATTGACAGGGGCTTTTCACCCAACATTATTAATCAAGCAGTTAAAAAATTCTCATCTCAACACACTAAAAAGCACACTCTTGTTTTAGGAGATTATAAAAATTATGTTGTCATTCCCTTCTTTCCATCAGTTAGCTATAAAGTTGTACATATTTTGCAGAAACTTAACTTTCCGGCGTTTATTCTCTCATCAATAAAATTCCGAGTTCATACTCAAAGACCCCATTCCGGATATGAATTCCTGGGGTATTTATAGGATTTCTTGCCAGTGTGGTTTAATTTACATTGGGCAAACTAAGACAGCCTTAAAATTTTGCGTCAAGGAACATGAGGCATGTTAGAAAAAAGGAAACACAGAAGTCTTATGTTGCTCAACATTGTTGATCCGAAAAGAATCCAATGAAAGATGTTTTTTGAATAATTTTCTGCTGCCATAGCATCTTTCATTGGAGAACTGGATTTTCTAGAGGCATTTCACATACAGAAAAAAAAAAAAAACTTTTTGTTCTAGTTAACGATTCTAATTCCAATCCATCTTTGCCTTCGGCCTTTAAAGAAATTATGTTTTAGTTCTGGTTTCACCAACAGATGGCGCCACTTGCTTATTCTTGTCCAGGCTTTCTTATCTTATCTAATCATTATTTCCTATCTTGTTCATTTGCAGTTTTGCAGCTGAGGATGGTGGTTCGGTAAAACCATCGGAACTAGTCCTGTGAAAATTTTGAAAATATAACGCTGATTTTTGTTGTTTGACTTCTGAATTAATAAACTCTTTTATCTTGAGCACAAAATATTTTAGGAAACTGAGAGAATTCGAAATGAACTAGTTTTGGTTGTCACGTGATGTTATCAGGCGAATTGGAATTTTGAACCACAATGGTAGGCGTGGGGAATTCATAATTAGCACAAATACACTTGATGATAATAAAATGAGATCGTAAAATAGAAATAAAATAAAATAATAATTATAATATCAGTAGAGGCCTTAGTCTGCTCCACCAGGCACAAAGTCCATTACCTTTTCTCAGTAATAAAATGATAAGTAAACATAATTTGAGAGTATAAAAATTGGAAAAATTCCCTCATTCCTGCTTTGCCGTGAAAACAAAGTCCATGTTTCCCTTCCTTAAAACAAGAGGCTAAATTTTTTAATGGTTCTCCGTAATTATTTTAAATTAGCAGAAAAATATATGTTAGCTAATTAGTTATCCTTTGTTAATATTTATTCCTTAACTTCTACATTCATAGTAAGTACAACTGTTTTGACTTTATTCACGGTATACTATTTATTTAGTTTTCTCTCTCACAGAATAAATTCATTTTATTAAATGCATATTTGCAAAACTACTTAAGAAATAACTTAAGACACTAAAGAAATTTTCCAAAATAAAAAGTTGTCTTATATGCGAAGGAAGCCAGCCCTTTTTTGTCTGTAAAATGCTTTAAAAGGTACCTCGTTGTCTTACATTGGAAACTCCTGAGTATTCAAACCCTTTTCTATCGTGAAAACTAGCCTTTTTTTTTTTTTTCATAAAAAATCATCAAACATACATTGTTATCTTACATATAAAGCACTTTTACAAACAAGTTTCTTTTCGTTTATAAAATATTTTTAACTGTTAATTTCTACTTTTAAAGGATAACTTACACTGTGCATAAAGCCATCTTTTAAGGTGCATAAGGCCATCTTTCAAGGCGCATAAAAATTTTGTATTTATTTTTCTTTTCCTGAATGCATTTAAATTTTTTAAATACATTTAGATTTTTTAATTTTTTTAAATACATACAATGATGTATAATATTATATCTTTCAATAATATAATATAACTAATAACTGAAAGCTTTATAAATCTGGTTAGCAAAATAATT